TAAAAGCATATTTAAAAAACAATTTGTTTTTATAATTTTTTTTATGCGATTAACTATTTGTTTTCTAAAATTGTTTAAAAAAAAACCCAGCACAGGGGGGTCGCGGCACAGTAATGACGTAGCATAGATAGATCAAGTATAATTATATCTGACAGTGATTAAAATCACTATAAAAAAAAAACGCTTCGATGCAAATCTGTAGATACTGTTTAATTTAAAAAAATTGGTGGACTATTCCAAAAGCTACATGATCTGCTAGTTCATTATTAATATCCTAATTAAGATAAAGTATGTAAAATGAAAAAGGGATTATTTAAAAATATTATTTCTCATAAAAAAAAAATGTTGATCCATACACTTTTCAATATGTCATAGCATTATAAAGTTAAAAATGTAAAAAATAAAATCGAGAATTTTCACACAATAATAGCATTTGGTAGCCATTTTCACCGTGAAGATAAAATANCGGTAGCCAATTTCACCGTGAAGATAAAATAAAGTACGAAATTTTTTTTTTGCATAATAAAGTAAATTACATTAGCTATAATTTAAGATATATATAAAAGTGTCAGACTTTCCGGAACACTTTCAAAATTTAAATTGAAAAAGTAAATTTTTTGTGAAAAAGTTGTCATTTTAAATCCCCCCCTGTAGACAGGTAAAGGGTCAGATATAAAAAAAATATATACCATATGATAGGTAAAGACATCATGCATCTATAAAAAAAAAATTATATTGATCCTTATATCTTTCAAAAAGTTATAGCATTATAAAATTAAAAATATAAAAAAGAATTTTTTTACAAAATTCGTATTTTTTTTATAAACTTTGATGTCTGTTTTCACCATGAAGATAAAATAAAGTCCAAAATTTTTTTTTACCATTATAAAGTATATTTTATTAGCTTAAATTTAAGATATATATAAAAGTGTCAGACCTTCCGGAACACTTTCAAAATTTAAGTTGAAAAAGTTCTACTTTTTACATGCATTTTTTAGATTTGAACCCCTCTCGTATATAGGGAAATGGTCGGATTTAAAAAAACAGTATGTCAAATGAAAGATGTATATGAATACTACTCCTCATAAAAAAATTGTACTGATCCATACATTTTTCAAAAAGTTATAGCATAATAAAGTTAAAAATGTAAAATACAAAATCGAAAATTTTCACACAAAAATAGCATTCGGTAGCCATTTTCACCCTGAAGATAAAATAAAGTCCGAATTTTTTTTTTTCACGATAAAGTATATTACATTAGCTTTAATTTAAGATATATATAAAAGTGTCAGACCTTCCGGAACATTTTCAAAAGTTAAGTTGAAAAAGTTGTCATTTTAAATCCCCCTTTGTGGGCAGGTTATGGGTTAAATTTATGAAATAAATATACCAAACAAAAGGTATTGATATTACACATCTATATAAAAAAGAATTATATTGATATGTTCAATTTTGAAAAAGTTATGGCACTTTTAAGTAAAAAAAATTGAAAAAATTTCGAAAATTAACGATTTTTAAATTTGTAATTTTTTTGGAGGTTTCCCCCATTTACGGGGAACGAGGGAATTTTTTTCAACTTTTGAGTGTAATGTCTTCGACTAGATACAATTTGTGTTCTTTTGACGTATCATTGAAAGAAATTGGTTCGGTGAGAGCTGAGAAAAAGTGGTAACAGACACAAAAAAAAAAAAAAAAAAAATAATCACATCTTAGTAAAACCAATACCTTCTCAGCTTCGCATCGAAGCTAATAAATAAATTTGTATTTAAGCATTATACTTTGAATAAATTTACGAAAAATAAGTTTTATTTTATTCAAAATATATTGTATTTGAAACAATATCATTTTCTTAACAGTTTTTTGCAAAAAAATATCAAGTTGAAAAATAATTTATGATCACGTCTTAATTGCATTATTTTATATAATACTCGTTTTTTTTTGTACTAAATGAATCGAATCGATTAACTAAAATCAATATAACTATTTAAAAAACAAAATAGTAAGACAAAAATATGTCTAAATTAATTTTTATTTTAGTTTCTGCGTCTCGTCGTACAATTCACTTCCAAAAAATATACCATAAATGAAAATTTTTAATGAATCATAAGAAAAATGTTCCCCGTACCATTATTTAATTTTACTATTCATATAATTATTTGAATAAAATATCAGTCATATTTTTCTATACAACTAAAAATTGAAATAATAAGTGTTTACTAATTGTGTCCATTTTTTTTTTATTGCAATGTAATTACAGTGTTTATATGGCGATTATTATAGTAAAAATAATTTATATCAATAACGGGAAAAGGAATTTACGAAACCTTAAGAACTCGGAAAATCATGACTTTTCAAATGTATTTCGTAAAATCAAAACTATATATGATAATTTAATTTCATTAATTTCAAAAATATCTAAAAACTATTTTACATATATTTTTGTTGATTAATTTAGACCAGTCATTCTCAAAGTGGGCGATAACGCCCCCTAGTGGGCGTTGGTAGTATTTAGGGGGGTGGTAGAATGCCCAAAGAAATTTTGGAGGCGTTGAGTTGGACTTAGGGGGCGATAGCTGATTAAGCCTAATATATATCTAGAATCTAGATATATATAAAAAATAAAAATTTAAAAAAAAATAAAATTATATTAAAGCCAAATACTACTCACTCACTGATCGCGAATTAACTTATAATATGATGCTAATGATTTACCACCAATACGTATTGTGCGACGTGGCGGGCCACAGGTTTTTAGCTATTATCGTGTAGATATAAATAGTTCCTAGAAGTTTTTCGTCGTCTCCCGTAAATAATAATCATTAGCGTTATCGAAACGGCGACAATAGCTGATAATTTAGTATTTATTATTACACTACGTCCAATACACAATGTATACTCAGGCTTCGGTTATTTGAACATTTTAGTTTACGATTTGGTGTCGCTTCGTGCTGGCCGTATTGTGTTTTGATTGCTCGTATAAAATACCTAGGAAGTAAAAAATATGTCGGAAGCAAAAAAGAAAAAAAGACAATACAGTGCGGAATACATTAAATACGGATTTATTCAAAGTCGGACAAATCCATCATCGCCAATGTGCCTTATTTGTCAAAAAACATTTTCAAACGAAGCAATGAAGCCTTCTAGACTAAACGATCATTTAAATAAAATGCATCCAGACATGAAAGGCAAAGATGTCACCTATTTTCAAAATATGGAAAAAAAATACCTAGCTCAATCTACTGTATCGACACTTTTTCTGCTGCTTCCAAACAAGAAAATGATGGACTTTGCGCATCGTACAATATATCATTGTTAATTGCTAAAACAGGCAAACCTCATACCATTGGGGAAGACTTAATTCTACCGGCAGTAAAAGAAGTAATAACAACTGTGCTCCATAAACCAGCGGCAGATATTATCCGAAAAATTCCTTTGAGCAATAGNAGATATTAACCGAAAAATTCCTTTGAGCAATAGATCTGTACATCGAAGAATTGATGAAATGGCGGAAAATATTGAAGAATCATTGTGTAATCACCTGAAGACTTGTCAATTTTCAGTTCAATTGGATGAGTCCACTTTACCAACTAATGAAGCATTATTGTTATCATACGTGAGGTTTATAAAAAATGAGAAAATATGTCAAGAACTATTATTTGCGAGAAATTTAGAGACAGATACAAAAGGAGAAACAATATTTAATACACTAGAAAAGTTTTGTGATGAAAAGCAAATTCCCCTGAAGAATATTATGTCAATTGCTACTGATGGTGCTCCAGCTATGACAGGGCGTCACAAGGGCTTCATAGCTTATTTAAAAAATAAAGTTCCTGACGTGCTTGCCATACATTGCGTCATTCATCGCCAGCATTTAGTTGCGAGAAATCTGAGTGAACGTCTTCATACATCACTGCATTATGTTATTAAAGCCGTTAATAAAATCAGAAGCAACTCATTAAATGACAGATTATTTAGTCAACTTTGTGTTGCTAATGATGAAGATTTCAACCGGTTGCTGCTTCATACAGAAGTACGCTGGCTCTCAAAAGGTACTTGTCTGACTCGGTTTTATAATTTGTTTGACTCTGTGATAGAGTTCCTGAAAAACAAAGAAACAGGACTTCACGATAACCTCATCACTTCAAAGAATGATATTGCGTACTTGACAGATCTCTATAAGTTATTTAATGATGTAAATCTCCAACTTCAAGGTGACGACTTGAACTTAATTAAAACAAAAACTGTCATTGCTACATTTGTTGCTAAACTGCTATTCTACAAGAGAAATATTGGTAGACGTGAATTTAATAACTTTCCTAATTTATCAGCAGCTCCTTTTATCAATGACGACTTGGTTGTTTACTGCCAACACTTGGAGAACTTACACAGTGATTTCAAAGAACGATTCCAGGACATTTTAAACATGGATATACCCAACTGGGTATTAGATCCATTTTCAAATGTCAACACAGCAGAATCATCCCAGATAGAAGAACAACTTTTAGAATTGACCACGAATGAAGAAATCAAATTTAAATTCAAGAATGGCTATCAAGAATTTTGGCTGCAAAAGCCAATCATGCAACTCTACCCTAGTTTATGGTCAATTGTTCAACGATTTCTGATACCATTCCCTTCATCATATTTGTCTGAACGTGGATTCAGTGCCGTAACAACACTAGTAACAAAAAAAAGAAATCGGTTGCTTGTTATATATATATATATATAATAAGTTAATTATATATGATAAGTTAAATTTTTTTTTTTTTTGGGGGGGGCCTAAAAAATTTTTGATGCTCAAAGTGGGCAGTAGATGAAATAAGTTTGAGAACCTATGATTTAGACGTATCTAAAAAAATCCATCAGGACAGATTTTTTAATAATTTAATATTATTATTATTTAATAATATTATTTCAATACACCTTTTATTATCCTTTACGTCAACTGCCTACACGTTACCGAAAGTTAATTGGTATAGTACTTTATGGCTGGCGGGTACACAGGCATAAAGTACTACTACTAAAACTAATTAATTCTAATCACAAATTATGCTTCTTCAGGGGAACATTCCTTAGATGATTTTTTGCTTTATTCATATATATGTGATATTTAGTACATGTATTAATAATTATACTACATACGCCCCTGGTATAAACAAAATTATTAATATTCTAACTATAATAATCGTAATTATATTATAAAATAATTACAAAAAATTCGACAGGTTATTTCTAATATTATGTGAAAAAATTGAATTTTGATAATAATATTGGTTACTGTGATTTGATGTTGGACAGCATAGTTGACATTGAAGGATCCCAATTTGTACGATAATGTATATTATATATAACATATATTATTCCTTGATAAACTATAAAAATATGGTACTATGTGCTACTGTAAAATAGTATCCTAATATACACTCTGTGGATAAAAAAAAAAAAAATTCATATGAAAAAAGTACAATTGAATATTAAGCTAATTATAAAGCAAAATTTCAAACAAAAGATATATAAAACAATAAACATGATTAAATATATCAACAAATTTGTATGTAGCAAAATGTTTAATAAACTTAAAATGACATATATAAATAGTAAATATAATATCAAAAAAAAAAAGATAGTTTTAACAAACACAATCAATTCAATTACTTATTGTAATGTATAAATGAAACGCATATAAATTTGAAATTTTTGTACTTAAATATAAATTAATATTTGCCTTTAATTTATGAAAAATATATTATTAGTATCTTTATTTACAGAAAAATGTAAAAATAGTATTTGATTTAAAAAGTCCACGTAAGTTAAAAATTTAGTTGTAATGATTTGTTTCTCTTCGGCATATCTATATTAGATTTTCACTCATAGTTTTTTGTAATTTTCTTTGACATGATTTTTATTAATTATGCATTTTTGTTATTTTGTTTAGCTAAAATCTATACGTGTGTGCAAATAGATATGGACAATATAACAATTGATGTCGCAAAAGAACATATACATTACCATGAGAAATTGTTACCTTTGAAACTAAATAATGGTACTGTGTATACTAGTGCTAAAGTTTCAGTCAAAAACTTCGAAAAATTTGACCTAAATGACAAAATTGATAATCCTGTACCTTTGGATGAAGAATATTTAGGTTCAGCTCCTCGTTTATCATACCGTACGCTTGCTGTTGGAAGAACCTTACGAGAAATTACGGATCAAGCTATACAAGAATATAACGATCCAATGGAAGCCATAGTTTGGCTTAGAAATGTTATTGAAAGCATTGGAATTACATTATTATTGCAATATAGTGTATTCACAACTAAAATTATATTAATCTTATCAAATGATCACGAGAAGTTTAATCATCATTTTAATAAAGCCACAACTTTTTTCAATTTTCTATCAGACAAATTTAGTGATTATCGTTTACGTCAAGATCCGATTAATCAAATAATTTTAATGTTTAATGCATATAACCAATCTCAAAAACTGGAGAATGATAAAAAAAAATTTATTCGTCTTAGCAATGTTTTTTTTAATCGTTTTATAAACTGTACAAAATTGGTAATGATTCCAGAGGATGTATTTATAACCGGAATTTTTTATCAACTCCAACACTGTAATATAATTAAATTAAAAATTCCAAATGTAGATTTAACAAGTTCTGTTAGCAAATTGCAGGATCAGTTCTATTCCTATATAGAACGTCATGCAGAAATATTAAAAGGTAAATAGTAGAATACATTATAGTATTTTAATGTTATATAGTATGTTATTGTTCGTAGGAAAATGCTTTCAGTATGACTAATGATAATATTTTTTTTTCTTTTATAGATTCAGGAAATACTAATGGATTAAATTTAAAATTATCTTTATGAATATCTAAATACTGGGTTTTTTTTTTTTTTTTTTTTTATTTAATAATTCCAAATAATTGTTTTTTTCACGTATTTGAAGTTATATTAATGTGAAATGAAATAAACGTAAATTTAACTTTACAATTTTCTTCAAGTGAGCAGCTCAACTGTATGTTACAACGTTATAATTTTTATATAATTACTGAATAATAATTTATAATACTCAATTAAAATTTCTGTAGTTAAGGCATTGATTATAAATGATATGTCTTAAATTGTTATTGAAAGCTTTGGAATTACATTATTATTGCAATATAGTATATTCACAGCAAGTACGATAAAATACATACCAAAAGAATATGAAAACAAATAACACGTCTTTTGACGTTATGTCAGGAAATTTTTTGTTAATTTCTAATTATAAATTTCATCTAAAAAATCAAACACACAAATTTTATTAGTTTTTTTCTAATTTAAAACTAAATAAAACAAAGTAAGCCTATTTAAAATCATAAAAATGCAATGTTATATATGTTTTCCGGTTATTTTAGATGATGTTTTTATATTTAAAACCATTTTTACATTGTAAAAATGTACAACACTTTACATTGACACATAAAATTAGTAGACGGTGTATTTAGGGTCAGTTAATTCGATACTAGCGACATTACCTGTTTTCTTTTATGTTTCCTTGATTAATTATAATAATATTAGATTTAAATATATTCAAGTGAAATTATAATTAAAAAACTATACTATAGTATGCAACATAAAATTAATCATAATGTCACTTATTTTCCAATTGACCTATTTTCAAAATTTATGTGTGTAACCCGGTCAAGCTCCACGTAGCTTGAAATCGCATTACCCCTCTAATTGTAATGATAACCATCGTGTCCGGCACTACCGGCACCTTTCTGTCATTACGTTTGTGTCCGCGGTTGACGTTATATCGAACCGTTGAATCCAATGACTCGTAGCCAGTAAGCTGGTATAGTTTTCTTTTGTTGGGTTTGTGTCGGCCTGTATAGGCGAAGCCCCAACGTACGGTTACTAAAGACTCAATCCATATTTGGAGTTGGTGTCCTTAGCGTACACACACCGGTAGTGTTTCCTTTTCTGTGGTTCGTCGAGTAAGTGCGTCTTGTCACTGTAAAATTAATCGTGGGACTCAGGATTATTGGCGTTGGTCAAGAGGTATTGTTGTGGAAATCTCAAGCATTGCGATATCACGCGGCTGAAGAAGTATCAAGTGGCTGGATGATGTTACTACTTTTTTTTTATTACTTAATGTTTGTATTATATGTAATTATTTGATTTGAATATGATTAAATGAATCGTGTCATTAGTAAAAAACCCAGCACAGGGGTCGCGGCACAGTGGTTACGTGGCATAGTTGGATCAAGTATAATGATATCTGACAGTGATTAAAATCACTATCAAAAAAAAAACGCTTCGATGCCAATCTTTAGATAGTGTTTAATTTTAAAAAATTGGTGGATTATTCCAAAAGCTTCATAAACTGCTAGTTCCTTATTAATATCCTGATTAAGACAAAGTATGTAGAATAAAAAAGAGATTATTAGAAAATAGTATTTCCCATAAAAAAATTATATTGATCAATACACTTTTCAATAAGTTATAGCATTATAATGTTAAAAATGTAAAAAA